GGGGGGGGGGGGGGGGGTCGTTGTGTCATTCATTAACAAGTAGTTATTAAAGAAAAAAACACGATTAGTTAAAGAAGGTGTATAAAAGGGATGGAAATCTTAAGATTAGAAAGAAAGTGATATTAAATTTAATTAAGAGAAAAAAAATTCTAAAATTTAGGATTTTACTGAAAATTCAATGAAATTCAAAATTTATGAACAACAGAAAGTCTAGAATTCTTCAGTTTTCGTAAATTTTCAAACAAAAGATGAATAAGCCGCATCGAATTGCTCGGAAATTTCATGTAATTAAAATTTCAAGATTAAATTCACCTCAATTTCTCTGATTTTTACAGATTTTAATAGAATAATGGGAGTGAAATTTACAGTTTCCATTGATTTTTCCATTAAATATTGAGTTTCCAGTGAAGAAATCCCTTGAAATGTCAGTTGACCTGTTCATCTCAATTTAAACCCATTATCATCTCACACACCTTCGCTCCATCATTCTCCTCATCAGTAACCCCAACTTTCACAGCAGCCACATGTCTCCCAGGTGCCTTCTTTGGTCTCCCCCGTTTCCCTCTCCCTCCCTTCAGCAAATTGCTAGGATTCCTGATCCTCAGATCCAGCTCTTCAGGGAAAACAACCCTAAAAAGCAAAATCCATCGATCAAAATCAATTCAACATCATGAATCTCTCCCTCACCATCAATACAAACCTGTAAACAACTTTTTCCTTCGTCTCTGAAGACTCCTGCTGTCCCCTCTGATGAAGAGCCTGAGCAATCTGTTTCAGCTGGGTCTGAGTGAGCTTCTGATTGCTGTGAAACGTGTGCCCCTGCTGAACAATCTGAATAGGCTTCTCAGGATTCCCAGGCTTCGCCTCTGCAGGAACTGAAGGAACCAAAGGTGGTACAGCTCGTTCAGACACCTCAGCCTTCCTAAACCCCCTCCCATCGTTCATCGCTGGTTTAGCATCATTAATTATCAAACTATCCTGAACTAAACTACTCGAATTAGGATTTTGTACTGCTCTCCTCTCGACACTAGGCCTCTGCGGACTAGTCGATATCTTCTTGATCATCTTCGTCGTCTGAACAACTCCATTCTGCTTATTCCCATTCGTCAGCACCACCTTTGGAGCCTTTAGAACTGACAACTGGGGATGAGCCCCAACAGCTCCATTACTCATTGCCTTCGAGTCCTGGGGCTTCATTCGAGCAGTCGTCGTCCTGATCACCATCTGGGGATTCGAGGGGATTTTGACAGCGGATGCAGACGTCCTCACCACCTGAGTGGACACTGGAACGGATTTAATGAGGGATCCAGTCTTCCCATTCACCCCTTGAGTCGTGACACTCCTCACTTCCAGGGCCTTCGGCACTGACTTATAAAACTGCTGACTCCTCTGAGCACTCTGTCCAGTCTTGACGAGTGAAGACAATCGAACCTGTCCATTGGCTCCACTACCCACAGCCACAGAACCTCCGTTAATCAGCTGATTCATCGTTCCACTTCTGGACATCCCATTCGATTTCTGCACCGAGTTCATCATCATCGAGTTCTGTGAGAGATTCGTCACCCCAGGGGCATTCGCAATGTTAACTTTATTCGTGGGAGAAACCAATCTGAAACTCTTGGCAGTCTTCACAACAGTTTGACCTGGTTTTATAATGAATTGCGACTGGGGCTGGACGACAGGTGCTCGCTGCACAAATGTCTGATCCTCCTGAATGAGCTTTTTGTTCAGCATCTTCAGGTGCTGGAGGTTCTGCAGGACTATGGCCCTCATCGACCTGCTCTGCACGTTCTCCCCGAGCTCTGGCATCTCATCGGGGAAGTTGTCCTCCTGGAGATCCCCAGGGGCGTCATCATCAAGATCCCCAGTGTCCTGCATCCACTCGGTGCCCCCCGGGAGGTCCACATTCTCCATCTGCGACTCTTCCAGGGCCTCCTCGTACTCAATACTTTCGATGTCATTCAGAAGGCTCTCATCCTCCAGTGGGTGAGTCACCTCGTTCCTCGTGTTGTCATTGAACGAGTCAACCTCAAAAGTTAACCCCAAAGCCGCCGCCTGCTCCTGGCTCAAGCGAATCGTCTGGTGTTGGCCCCCATCGTCCTTGAAAAATGCCACAAGCTCGTTGTCACGCTCCTCGTCGTCGACCACGTCCTGGAATGCCTGTTGCAGGAGGTCTGCACCACTGCAGGATACTCCTTCGTTTGTAAACACTGAGAGATTCACCATTTCCGACATTTTCGGGCGGGACTCGCGGGTTATTATTATTAATCCGTCAATTGGGGTTTTCGTGGGATTTTCACACGATTAATTCCATGATTTTTTGGGGTTTATTGGGGGTGGGGCTGTTTTCGCGAGGATTTTGGGGAACTACGGGATTCAGTGGAACACACACCTGCACGTTTTTCGCGCAAACAGAAAACATGAAACATATCCACTTGAACTTGGCCCGTTATGGAGGCGCCATCTTGTTTTGGAGGGTTTTAGTTTGATTTTGGAAGGCTTGGGGCGCTGGGGAGGTGCGAGTATCTCGTAGTTATCTTGTTTTCCCGGGGTTGTAGATACGTGAGATTGTGGGAGAGAATGTAACTCGAGGAATGGTAAGCACTGGGTGTTAGTAGAGAGGGAAATGAGGGAGAGAGAGATTTCTGGATGTAAACACACGGTATTCCAGGACAAATGGGTTGTTTGTCATTTCGAAGTGCCTCAGAACACAGGTATGGATTTATCAAGGCAAGACAGGGAATACAACGGGCTAAAAAATGACGATTTGATTATTTTGTTTGTTGCTCTCAAGTTTTCTTTGTTAATCATGATTATATTTGGATTTATTCTCTAATTCGGAATGACAAATGAGATTTTTCATTTATTAACGTCTGCTCTATGTTGACAACAACCAATGAAAATACTCCTCCAATCACAACAACCCCCGTTTCTCTCATTTTTCTAGGCACAACGATCATTCGGCGGTTTCTCCTCGAGGGAGACGGACGGCCGGAGGGAGATGTTCGGGATCGTGGATTGTCGAGGCATTTGGAGGCTCTCGGTGAACCCCTCCAAGCAGAAATGACGTCATCCTGAGCCGGAGAAATGTGAGTGTTTCTTGAAAATAATTATTTTGGAGGATTTTGGGTTTTTAGAGACTTTTTTTGTCGTTTTTGCTCCTTGTGGCATGTCAGATGGGGGATTTTCTCCAGTCGTTATTCTACATTCAATTATTTTTCCATTATTAAAAAAAAAGAATCATTGCCAATTTTATATCTTCTATATTTTCTTATCAATTCTTTTAATCATCAACTTTTCAATTCTACCATTGTCGTGTATAATTTGTAATGTGATGTGAACGATGTATTTTTTTTTTCAAAATACCAACGGTCGTTTAGGTGTTGTAGCCAATGAAAATCCTCCGCCAGTCACCGCCACCTACAGTCCCCCGTTTCCCTCCATTTTTCGCGCAAACCGTCATTTCGTTGTTGGCCTCCATTGAGGCTAGACGTGTGTTTCGAGAGATTTCCGGGATCGTGAATTATTGCGTACACTTAAAGTCCCATAGTGCTTGTTCCCGTCGGTTTTTTACTCGCGTCACCTCCAAAAAAAGTGATGATCGTGTGAAAATGTTAGTTGTGAAGAATTTTGGATTTTTTCAAGCATTTTCAATCCCTTTCGTCCACCGTGTCATGCCGGCCGGCCGGTCTCCTCAATTCCCGTGTCACAAGTCCTTCTATTCATCACAACCTTTGCTTCATCACCTATTTTCAATTATTAATTTTTTTATTCTGCGATTATCCCACGTAAAGTGTCAGAATCAAATCATTTCTTCGTTTTCGAAATGTCCTTCGGTCGTGACACACGAATGGAAACCCTCCGCCAATCACGGTCACCCACAGTTCCCCCCGTTTCCC